GGTTTGGCCATTGTGAAAATCATTTCACTTTTAGAAATATGCATAAATTGATTAAAATTAATTTCAGCCCTGTGATTAATCTTGCATTCTTTCACTCAAACAAACATTTGAGTGCCTACCAAGTGTCAGGCACAATTCTGGGTGCTGAATTTATTTGTTATTTGTTTTCTTAGCACTAATTTTGGTCTGGAAAACTAAACATTTGTTTTAAATTTAAATTATGACACAAATTAAAATATATATGAAATGGGAGCAGCATTTGTTGCAGTGACTAAGTTCTGTGTCACAGTGTCTGGTCAGAGTCTGGCTCCCCCGTTTCTGATCCAGCTTCCTGTTAATGAGCACCCTGGGAGGCAGCAGATGATGATGCAAGCACATGGATCCCTGCCACCCACATGGGTGGTCGGAATTGAGTTCCTGCAGCACGGCTGTTGAAGCAGTCTTGCCTGCTCCCTTCAGATCCAGGTCCCTGCTAACACACCTGCACTAGTAGCAGATGGTCTGAGTACTTGGAACCCTGCCACCTACGTGGGAGACGCAGATGGCGTTCCAAGCTCCTGGCTTTGGCCTGGCACACCTGCCATTCCAGTTATTTGGGAAATGCAGGTAGAATATCTCTCTCCCCCTCCCATCCCCATCGCTACACCTTTAATCCAAAAAACTAAATCTTTCAAGAAACATTAAAAACAGATAGAGAAAAGTATTTTACCCTTGTCACTTTCAAATTCCAAATAAGATTTTTAGTTTCTGAAATTTGTTTTGGAAATTTCTTTCTAAATTTATAAGGTAATTAGAGCATGTATTTCCACACAGTATTTCCAATTCATCTTTACGATCAACATTAAAAAGTTTTTTTTCTTTTTGTCCTTGAAACCATGTAACCCTGTATTATTTACTTATTATTCTCTTCCTTATCCACTGGTCTACTTTTGGGGCAGATAACAATAGTGTACTTTTTAAATGATAAGATAATACAGGTTTCTGTCCTAGAACACGGTTTTCCTGTGTTAGGCAAGAGCAGCATTGTTGACAGCAGTATTAAAGTCAGTATTCATGAGCTCCTAACACTCTACTCAAAATTGTAATTCCTTGTCACTTGTCATTTGAGCTGCAGCCCCTGGGACCCCCAGAAGATACTAATGTGTGGATCTGTCTGGGAAGCTGAAGAGAGACTGAATACTACAAAAGGCTGCTAAGAATTCTAGATGCCATGTGGGAGCTTTGCTTGATCCTTGGAGGTCCCTTATATAACAAATAGATGTTGTGACCTAGCTTTTTTTGAAATGTAAAAAAAATGGTTTTCCAGTGATTTGATATATATATTAACAATGTATTTAATGAGATGAGGGGTAGAAAAGCTGCATATGTTGAAAGCTGGCAGAATACATGATATTAATAAATTATAACTAATTTCTTCACATATTAGATGTAATTAACTTGTTTATTTGCTTTTTTTTAAGATTCATTTTTCTTTGAAAGGCAGATTTTACAGAAAGAGAGGAGGGGGAAGAAAGAGAAAAGAGAGGGAGAGAGAGAGAAAAGAGATCTTCCATCCACCAGTTCACTTCTCAAATGACTGTAGTAGCTAAAGCTTGAACCAGTCTGAAGCCAAGGAACCAGGAGCTTCGTCCAGGTCTCCATGTGGGTATCAAGGGCCCCTGGACATCAGTTACCTTCTGCTGTGTTTCCCAGCCCATTAATGGGGAACTGGACTGAAAGTAGAGCAGCCAGGATTCAAACTGGCACCCCCATCGGATGCTGACTTAGCATACTATGCTACAACACTGGCCCCTTTTGTCTTATTCAGGCTTCTTTCTGCCGCCAGTTGCCCACGTATAGAGTCTCTTTATCTATATAGGGAAATAGAAGAAATTCATTTCATTTAGTTCACTGTATTTTTCAGAGCTATTCTAGAAACAGAACATTTGATTTGGTTAAAAAAAAGTAAGATGTTAGGGGGGAAAAACACTACAGAGTTCCTCGAGCCGTCTTGACTTTCCTCGGTGGTGACGTGTTACTCTGGAATACCTGTGATACGATGTCAAAGTCAGGAAGTTGGCATTGGTACACTTTGGTAACTAGGTGGGCTGCAGATCTGATCAAAATTCTCTTTTTTAAACTGCATTCATTTGATTTTGAGTGTCTAGGTATATATTTGAATAGGTCTATGCAATTTAATCAGATAAATAGATTCGTCTGATTCCCACTCTAACCATGACACAGAATTCTTACATTACTACAAAAGAACTTCCTTGTGCCACCTTTTTCTATTTATGCTTAGGGCTATCTTTTTTCTTTGTTTATTTGAAAAGTATAATTATAGAGTGAGGGAGACAGGGAGATCTTCCATCCTCTGGGTCACTCTCAAAATGGCTACAACAGCTAGAGGTAAGCCAGTTCAAAGCCAAGAGCCTGGAGCTTCTTCCAGGTCTTCCATATGAATGAATGGGGCTTGGGCATCTGTCATTGCTTCCCCAGACATATAAACAAGAAGCTGGATTGGAAGTAGAGCAGCCAAGAATCAACTGGTGCCCATATAGGATGCCAGCACCACAAGCAGCAGTTTTACCCACCACAGCACATTCTCTTTATTTTTTTTTAAAGAAAAAATATTTAGTATTTATTAGAAAGGCAGAGAGTGAGAGAAAGAACACAAAAACATGAAGAAGATATCTTTTCTCTTCCAGTTTTACTCCCACAGATGCCCCAAACAGCTAGGGATGGGCCAGGAGCCAAGAACTGCAACTGGGTCTCTTCCTGGGCAGCAGGAGACCAAAGGCTTGATCTGTCATCTGCTGCTTTTCCTGGAACACCAGCAGGAAGCTGTATCAAAAGCAGAGCAGCCAGAACTTGAACTGGTACTTCAATGTAGGATGCTAATGTTATAGGCAGTGGCTGGTTATAATCTAATGTGCCATAATGCTACCTTCTGTCTTTCTATCTCCTTCGCTCTCCTTCCTTCTTTCCTTCCTTTTTAAAGAGAAAATTAGAAATAGTATTGTATTTTAAAGTTTGGTTTCTGTATCTTCATTACATGTATAGTAACATAATTAATTTTTGTATATTGATCTTAGATCCCACAACTTTATTGAACTCATCTGTTAGTCCTGTGGCTTTCCTTTTTTTCTTTTAAATTCTTTAGTATTTTCTGAGTGAACAATCACATCATATGCAAAATAAAGGCAGATTTATTTTTTCTTTCCTGATTGGTAATCATTTTTCCCTCTTGTTACATTAGCTGGACTTTTAAGTATTGTGTTGATCATGAATGGTGAGGGTAGATATTTGTGCATTATTTCTCAGAAGTAGGGAAGTATTGCCTGTTACCATTAAGTATAATATTAACTCTATGATTTTAAAAGTGATTTATTATATTTATTTGAAAGGCAGGGAGAAAGAGATCCTCCATCTGCTCGTTCATTTGCCAGATGACCACAAAAGCTAGGAGCTAAGAACTCCATCTGAATCTCACATGTGGACAGCAGGACCCAAACAGTCAGTGTGTGACTGCCTCCCAGGGGAAACTAGCAGGGAGCTGAATTGGCAGCCAAGTAACGTGGACTTGAACTAGCATCTCTCTGCCACAATGCTGGGCCTCTATAAGAGTTTTATAAATATTTTTTATCAAGTTGAAGAAATTTTCCTCTAATTCTAGTTTTCTGAATTCTTTATCATGAATATTGGATTTTACAAAATACTTTTCTTACATCTATAGATATGCATGTAAGTGTGACTAGAGAAATCAGCCTGTAATTTCTGCTTTCCCTAAGTGCCCCTTGCAAGCCTCATATTCTAGTGATAATATGGTTGTTTAAAGAAATGAAACAATCCGGAGTAAGCAATTTGAGATCTGAACTCATGTTATTGGTGATTCTACATTGCTGAATGTCAAAGGGCGTTGATTGGATACCTGTTGGAGACCTGGTCTTTGCTTCTCTTCTTAGCATTATTGTAGTGTTTCTTGAGGAAAATAGAGAGCAAAGTAGTTAACAGTTTGTACTTTGGAATCAGACTTTGTTCCAAGGTGGCCTTTATCATTTAGTAGCCATCTGGGACCTTGTTAACTTGTCTGTTTCCTCCTTTGTAAAATGGAACTAATAACAGTTCATTTTGTGAGATTAAATGAGATAATGCATAGAAAATGCATCTTAGATAATAAGTATTTAATGCACGTTGTCTGATGTAATACTAATATATTTAATAAGAATTTTTAAACATTCTTACATTAAAAGCATTGTGACCATTTGGAATAACACAGCATTATGTGAAGTACAAATTCAGTCTTAGAAGAATGCATCATGTAATTTTCAAATAACCCGTATGTTTGAATAAATGAGTGAAAACTCTGTTCTCTTCTTCCGACTCAAGATGAGTCATCAGTCTTTGGTCACTACCTTCAGCTCCTTTCCATTGTCCCTTTTCACCCCGTTCCCCCGCCCCTCTTATATCCCTCTTTTTTGCTAGTGATCAATTCTTGCCTACTTTTGTGGGAATTTTCTCTTTGTCTTTCTTCATTTCCTTTTTCCATTTTCCTGTTTTGCTTAGTTCCCCTGATTGTGTATTGGGCCATTTTTCTCTTTATTCCCTTCCATTTCCTCCAGGAACCTTAGGGCAGCTCCTTTTCATGTCGTGCTCTTCTGTTTCTGAGCCAAAGCAACCATGATGAGCACTAAGCGTGAGAGAGATAACTTGACTCCAAAGTGATAATAATTTTAAAAATTAATTACATTAATCTCCTGGAACCTTATAGGTAACCAGAATTCCTGAATAGACTCTTCACTTCTCTCTTGATTTTTTCCTAATTAAACTTTATTTTCTTCAAGTAACAGCCACAAAATAAATAAAGATGAAAAGCTCAAATTAATTTTTATTTTCTACATTCTGAAAGAATTCATTTCTATTATATTCTCAATGCAGAATTATAGTATTTCTGCCACTGTATGAACTTTTTAAAATATATTTTTATTTTGAATTTTGAATTATGTGGTGCAATTTCGTATAGGCTGGGATTCTCTCCCCAAACTCTCACACCCCCAACAGATTTTCCTCATTTTACTACAATGATGTAGTCCTTTATAAGGAATCCTGTTTCAGTTAGTCTTATTTAAGTGTACCCCAACATTGCTGGTACAGACAATATCAGACAGTCCAGCATCCCATTGTCTACACATGTCCAACAGTTTCATTGGGAATCCATCTTTCATCTGAAAGCAGGGATGCATGTTCCATTATACCCCCACATCTGTATATGATAGACCCCAGTACTCCATCACTATACATTTCCATAATTGAGAAGCCATGAAACAAGGTCAACAACTGGTATGAGAACAACCACAACAACAGCAACATCAACAACAAATTACAGCACCATGAAAAAACGTGCCACTGAGTAACCAACACATGGGTGACAAAAAGGAAACACAAAAGTCTCTTGGGAAAAATGATGCCACCATGTAATCCATGAGTCAGTGATGAATTCGACAAGAGAAAAGGAATTATTTGGAATAAAAACTGAAATAAGAAACACTTTTTATTATAAATACTTTTTATAATGAAAAAAAAAATTTTAAAGCTTTTTAGGTTTGGCCTGAGAGTCTGACTTCCTTTACATTATTCCTAGAGGAAAATTCATTTTTCTCCCAGACAAGCCAACTCTGGGAACCCCCTTTGTTTGTAAATTGTGTAATCTCTGTACTAAATGTTCCAACTTGTAGAAGATTGCAATCCTTGCAGGTATTTCAAAGAGCCAAACTAGCCTGCAAGTGCAGCATTTGTTCATTCTCGTTGCTTAGAAAACTAGAGATGTCATGACAATTCTGTTTTCCTGTAATATACCAGGCCTATTGATCAGAAGTTAAAGTTGATGGAGCACATGTCCATGTTAGTGACTGTAGCCATCACCCAATGTCTTGGCCAAGTTTAGCTTCTTTTCTAATTTATGTACATGTGAAGTGTTCATTAAGCACTTTATTATATAAGCCCATGAAATGTCCATAGTAAAAAAAAGTAACAATACCGAGCCCTGTCTTGGACATAGAAAGAAAAATGTATACGTTACCTTCGTTACATCATCTGTCTTGCCTCTGCCTTTGCATTGGGCCCTTTCCTCCACCTCCCACCCCCAACCTGTGCCCTTGAGGTCACGTTGGCCTCCTCTGTGCGTCAAACATCCTGCATTCATTTTCACCTCAGGGCTTTTGTACTTCCTCTTAGCTCTGCCAGAAAGAGTTTTCTTCCCAGATGATTACATGTTTGGTTCCCCTTTGTCATTTGGACCTCAGTTTAAATTCATTTTCTCTAAGATTAATTTGCCTGATTGCCTTCAAGTTGCCTCCTATAAGATGACCATAAAATAAGAAAAACCCCACATACACAGTCATACTTTTGGCATTATGATAGTTGGTTTTCTTACATTATGATCATCTTATTATTATTTGTCTCTTACTAGAATGCAAATATTACGATAGAACCATATTTGTCTTGTTCAGTGTCCTGCCTATTAATACTTGTTGAATGAATGATGAATCAGAATGGTGGAATTTCTTGGTTATCCAGAAAAGCTGCTTGTGTTGCATAACACCTGTATAAGTGTTTTGACTAGGGTAATAGATATAACTGGACAATAATAAAAACCAGAAGTCATTTTATGTGTGAGGAATGATCCATACAAATAGCTGCCGTGCAGACATCAGCAATCATTTGTTCAACAAGAATTCATCTGAAATGCCAGTTTAACTAGAAAGGAAGAGAATACCTGGAGGGTGACCATAGAAGAATCTAGATAAGTGAGATTCAGAACGTTAAGGAAATGATTCACACGGGCCAGACAGATAATAAGGAAATAAAGGATTTAAGGAAAGTAAACAGGGTCTAACGCAAAGAAACTAGAAAGTCTAACATGCCTAACTAATTCTATAGAAATTCAAGTGAGGTAATGGTGATGATGTGGAGGAAACATGGCTAATTAAACTCGTGAGTTAAATATAAAAAATTATTTTAATACCACTTTTCTTTAGGAAAAGTTGATTTTTTTAAAGTTGATTAAAAATTGATGTTCAAACGTTTGGTAGTAGATACCCACAAGATGAATTTTTAAAATTGTGTTTGAATCTTGATTCTCTGATGAAAGAAGCTAGCAACAGGACTATTAAAACACACTGATAATAAGAATAAATTACATTTAAAATTATGTGTGAGCCACTAAATACTTTACTTGACTAGCACATGTTAGTGCCGGAATCATTTTTATTATCAGCATTTCACAGATAAGCAAGCTGAAGTTTAGGCAAGTTTAACACAACTGGACCTAAGGTCAGAGCATGAAGGGATAGGGTTGAATTTCAAGCCCTGGTGGCCTGTCCAATTTCAGAGCAAGAGATCTTAATCATTTTTTTCTAGTTTGATCATACTTTTAGCTGATCTTTAAAGTTTTTGTGTCATATCATCTTCCTTATCTTAATGTTTAGGACACAGGTATCCGTACTAAACCTAAATTGCATAATGCTCAGTTAACAGATAGGTACAATACTGGTCTACTGCATACCAGACATGTCAGCATGATAAATTTATCAATATTATCTGGAAAGTCATCTACCCACTTTCATGAGTGTACTTCAAAGAGTTTGTAATGTTATCTCTGATCTAATGCAAAATATAAGATCAATAGATATATAGGTAAGCATGTGTATACTTAGATTTATCTAAAGGATCTGTATAATGGAGGCAAGTATACCATGAAGTGGAGGTAGATCTCTACTTGTGAATAAAAAATAGTCTCCCCATAAAACTGTTAAATATATTTTGACACCATAATTCTGGCCTTTATACTATTCTCTATCTACAGTGTCAGGGTACGCTTAAATGATAGAATGATGGTCTTGTGATTATTGTTGAGGGACTGAACTATTGTTACAATATAGGGGAAAACATGGACCTGTTATGGCAGCCTAGAGGCTAAAGGCCTCGCCTTGCATATGCTGGGATCCCAAATGACTGCTGGTTCTAATCCCAGTGGTCCCGCTTCCCACTGTTCTAGCCACTTGGGGAGTAAATCAGCAGATGGAAGATCTTCCTCTCTATCTCTCCTCCTCTCTCTCTCTCCTCCTCTCTATTTATCTGACTTTCCAATTTTAAAAAAATCTTAGAGGAAAATAGTGAAGGGGAAATGAGAAGGGAAAGGGTGAAAGGGGAAATCCCTGACCCTAAGGAGTTGTATCATAAAAAAATAAATAATTTAAATGAAAAAGAAATTTAAAGATAAGTTTATGTTGGTGCAAAAGTATTTTGAAATCCATGCATATAAAGCGTCTTGCAAAAAGATGATGAAAAATTCATATTATGAAAAACCTGAACATGGATTTCAAGCTTTGTTTGCACAAAAATAAATGTATTTTTCTATTCTGCTTTTCCCAAATATTTTGAAGTACTCTTATGTGTTGCTTTTTACATTAAGAGAAAATTAAACTTACTGAACCATAGTTTCCATAAAATTCTCTATTTGTGTCACTTAACAGTAGATTCAATATAACAAAAGAGTTGACAGGATAATTTACAGAATTTAGGAAGTAACATTTTTTAAAAAATCATTTTTCTCAAAGAACAGTTACAGAGAGAAAGAGATCTTCCATCTGCTGGTTCACTCCCCAAATGGCTGTAACAGTCGTCTGTAAGCCAGGTCAGAGTTGGCAGCCAGGAGCATTGTCTCGGTTTTTTGTGGAGCGACAGAGACTGTAGCACTGCACCACCTTGCTGTGCTTTCCCAGGGAGCCAGATCAGAAATGAAAAAGCCAGGATATAGACCAGCACCCCTATGGGATACAGGAACAGACTGAATGGGATCAGTGTTCTGGCACAGCGTGATTAGACCACACTGACACTAACATCCTATATTGGTGTGCTGGTTTGAGTCCCTTCTGCTCTGCTTTTAGTCCAGTTCCCTGTTATGTGCCTGGGAAAGCAGTGGAGGATGCCCAAGTGTCTGGGCTCCTGCACGCACCTAGAGGAGACCTGGATGGAATTCCTGGCTCCCAGCTTTGTCCTGGATCATCCCTAACTAATGTGACCATTTGGAAATTAAAGCAGCTGATGGCAGATCTCTTTCCCTTCTGTCACTCTGCCTTTCAAATAAATAAATAAGTCTTTATTAAAAAAAAAAAAAGAGAGAGAGACTGAGAAATGTCCCTGACATTTTGACCCATTTACTTTACCATTTTCTCTGTATTTATACTTAGATGTCATGCCTTTTTTTTTTCCTGAGCTTTGTTGTAGTACCTTGGGGACATGGTGAACTTCACATTTAAAATGCTGCTGAATGTATTTCCTAAGAACATGGACATTCTCTTAAAGTGCAGTTATCAAATCATGAAATTTGTTACTGACACACTACTATTATCTGATTCATAATCCATATTCTAATTTTGTCATTTGTTCCAATAATATCCCTTCTAGTGTTTTTTCTTAAATGGGGGTCCTTATGTCTTGTTAGAGTTATAGAGTACTCGAAAAACAGCCAGGTTCTGCAAAATTATGCTTCAACGCTATAAACTGCTAAATACTAAAATTAAAATAGACATGAGACAGCTGAATAGTAATCTATAGCCATTTTAAGGTGTATAGAATCCAGTTGTATATAAACTAATAATTGTAATGTCAATGTAGAAGTCATAGGATGTGGTTCAGAACTTGCACTCTTTTTTTTTTTTTCCCTGTCTCTCTCTTTTAACATGCTGGTTACTCAATACCATGTCAACTAATTCCATTATAAATGTTACTGATGTAATGTCGGGGCTTTTAATTGATTGGGATGATACTCTGTCGGCTCTACCTTCAGACCAGAGACGGTCTCCCCAAGAAACCATTGAACTTATCTGGACAATAAGATGCTGGACTCTATGCTTTGTAGATGCTTGCAATGAAAGAATCTCAACTGAACTTGAACTGTGGTAATGCAACAAGGTGGAAGAATCCACCATGGGGGCGTTTGGGGAGAGGGGAGGGGAATCCCAGTGCCTATAAAACTGTGTCACATAATGCAGTGTAATCAATTTTAAAAAATGATTTGGGAAAAAAAAATGGGGGTCCTGGAT